GATAATGAAAATATTGCAGATTTTTCAATCATTAAATTTTATGTATGAACAAAATTAGGTTTACATCAAAGATAGAAACTTATATTTTAATGTAAAACATAAAAAATTATTAATGTACTTAAATGGAAAGAAGTTTATACATTTAAGAAATTAAAATTATTCTTAATAAAATACAAATAATTTCATATAAAAAGAGGTTAGCTGATCTTTTCTTTATAGCATTTTTTTATCCGTTCTTTTCCCACTTATTTATGGCTGAATGGCAGTTGATAAAAACAAGGCTCCAGATATAATTTTCCTAAGAGCGTCTCCAGTTGAACTCCGAATGACACGAGAAATTATTGTGTATGCAATCCGAACGCAGAATAAGGTTCGGATGTTGCGTATTTACTGCTTATTTTGTTGCGTATTTTTTGATAAATAATTTTTTCGTGGCAAATAAGTAGCGAATAAATAATACTCATTAAATACTCACTAAATACATAATAAATACGTAGAAAAAATTATGTATAAAAAATACGCAGTAAAATAAACAGTAAATACGCAGCATCCGAACCTTACTCTGTGTTCGGATTGCGTACACAATAATTTCTCTCCAAATGACAGGGAGGCATCGCTGTTTTGCTCCATTCGAACGACAAAAAAACACTAATCGGGTAAACAGTGAATTGCCAAGGCGTCACACTGTTCAACCGCAATTTTTTTAATCCAAAAATTAAGTTATTAATTTTAATTTTTTAAGTGTAGAATTTTAATATTAATAATTAAGAAATAATAATTTATAAGCACATTATTTTTTAGAAAATAATTTTTTTATGTAATTAATTTTTTTTAAGATACAACATTCTTTTTTCGCTGTTAGAAAATGAAGTTTACCTGGAGATAAGTTAGTACATTTTGTGTGTTACAGCATTTTGAAGTGAAAATTGAATTTTTCGGTTGGAGATGGCCTAAGCCCTTTCTTCTTTTATTCATTTATAATCTTTTTTTTTCTAAAACAAAGACATGTATGATATAGTACGATTATTATATGGCATTTTCGTTTGAGTCATAATATTTGCAGCCTGCATTTCTTTCATAGCTGTGAGCATAGAAAATTTAGAATTCGTTTGGAATAACTTTCTTACTGCTTTGCTTTTTAAAATCACAACTACAATTTTTGACAAGCTACAAATTGAGACATTAATTATGCACTCCCAAGGGCCAATCAAAAGGCACCTTATGTCCTAAACTAGTATGTAGTACTGCATCAGCATCTTCATGTAGCCTTTCTAGACCTACATGCAAGTGATGGTGAGGATTAGTTAAGGATCTGAATTTTGACTTTTTAGAGAGTTGTAGACGTTTTTTTTTTTAAAAAAAAATTGGGGCCTAAGCCCATATATTAATAAAAAAAGAGAGAAAAAATTACAAGAAAAAAAGCTACCCACCATAAGCAAAAAACAAAACCTAATGAGGGTCAAAAGACCCCAACTAAAGCACCCAATACGTTTTTTAAAAATTCATGATTGTAACGATCTCTTGTTCTTGGAGAATGTCAGATACTTGATGGTCTACATGAGAAAAATGTTTCATATGTAAGGTAGTCTTCGTGTTGGAATTTTTGGGAAGGGCTTAAAAGTGCTCTTAATTGGTACATTACAACTATGTATGTGTGAGTTTTTAGGTTGATGGAATAGATTCTTTTTCTTCGCAAGTGGACGTAGACTTGGTTGTAACTTAACCACATAAAACTTTGTGTCTTTTTTGTGGTGTTTCTTTCTCACTATTATGTTTCTTTGTAGCACATTGATCACAATCCAAGTTAATGACTTTGCTTCAAGTGTTTTTGATGTGGTTTCCTTAGTTGGTGGGAGTCCTTTTCTGTTTGATTGAAGTTCTCGCTTTTTCTTTCTTTTCAGCAGTGGGCTTTGAAATTATTTGTTTGACATGATTTGTTGGTTGGGAATTAGGATGGTAGTTGTAGTTTATAAGGATTATGGTATTCTCCTGCCCTGCGTTTTGTGGTAGATCCATTATAAGAGCTAAGGTTCAAGATGTGTGGCATCTGTTACAAGAGTTTTGGTTTAAAGTGCATATTATCAAGGATAGATTAATGTGCATTGCGGAACGCCATCCCTAGGTTGTTTATTTGTTAAAGAATTATTGCGTTTTAATTGAATTTAGACATATGCTAAGTTGATCATATACAAACGATATATACAAGCTTAGTGGATAAATAAGTATTTTGAAGCATGTAACTATTAACTTTTTGGCCTTAATAGAATTTTTATACTAAGTTTCAATCTTGTGAGTACAGATCGAATGTGTCTCCATTAATTTAAATAATTTTTCTAAGATTTTAAATACTTATTTATTTTAGATTTATGGTCCAAAAATTTTAGAGGTTTTAAATACTTAACTATTAGGCTGGTTAGGAGATTGACTAAGCAAGCTTAGATGATCAAGAGTTGATGACTTTCCTACCTAGTCATTGATCGTGGAATATCAAAATGATCTTGAGACCTTTCTAGTGATCCTAAACTTTCTAAGTGGACCCATCTCTTATAGATTCGAATTTGACTTATTTGAGCCTAAATAAACTAATTGTAAATCCTAGTATGTTGTAGATGAACATAGATTGATTAATGGCTTGGCTTGAGTGATCTTAGATGATCCTAAGGTTACTTAATAGCTAGGTTACTATTAGGCTAATCCCCTTAGAACAGTAATGTGACATTCCACCTTAACGTGAAGTATCTACATCAATGGACCTTTCAACCTTAGAATGCCATGGCCCACCTCAAGAGTCTATCTTTAAGATCTCTTAAATCCTTAATTACCTTAACCAAAGAATAAGGACTTTGGGAATGAGTCCCCCTTAATCCCCTAGTCTAAAATCCTTGACCCTTAGCTTTGGGTTTTAGGATCTTAGAATAAATTACCCTTCATTCCGTGAATAAATTATCATAACCCTTAGATCTAGAATATAGAACTAAAAGATGGGTTATCCCATCTCCATGTTCTTGAAGACATTATACACTCTCTAGAACATATGTTATGAGACCTGTGATGACATGGCCTATCTTAGAGTGGGTTGTGATCATCACTCTTTGATTTTTTGTAATTATTAATGGTGGAACCCATAAATTATAGAATATATTAACAAACAATTCAAATTATTAATAAATTAAATTGAAATAATTCTTTTGATAATAAACTTAAATGCATTATAATCAAACTTATAACTTAAACATCACATTTAGATTAAACTAACCATATTAACAACTTAACACACACTAGATGTTGTGAAAGCTATATCCCTATGCATTCTAAGGATTAGGGTGTAGCTAAGATTGCACTCTTAGTCACTTATTAAGTGATGTACTAATAGTTTGGCAATGTTGTTTGATTGTAATTATGGTATTTTTCTCCTTGCAATGTTTATTGTCTGGTACCCTTTTAAGGTTTGAGATATCTTGGGTCTATTGTCCAGAGTGATGGTGAAATAGATGGGATATTATAAGTAGAATTCAAGGTGGATGGTTGAAGTGGAGGAATGCATCGGGTTTGTTGTACGATAGAAAAGTATCCCTCAAACTTCAGGGAAAATCCTATAAGATGGTGGTGAAACCTGCAATGCTTTATGGCGCAGAATATTGGCTATTAAAAGAGAAACATAATAATAAGTTAAATGTTGCAGAAATGAGGATGCTTGGGTGGATGAGTGGCTTTACTCTTAGAGACAGGATACGAAACGAGCATATACGTGAAAAGGTTGGAGTAGCTCTAGTGATAGATAAAATTAGAGAGAGTTGCCTTAGATGGTTTTAAAACGGCGTCCTTCCAATCCGATTAGGAGAGTAGATATATTAGATTTGGCTTATGTTAAGAAAGATAGAGGTAGACCTAAGAAAACTTGGTTAGAAAATATTATAATTGACCTTTATTTATTAGATTTAAATGAGAATTTGACTCTTAATAGTTAACAATGGAAACAATGGAGAAAAAAGATTCATGTATCCGACCCCACATAGTCGGATAAAGGCTTGATGTTGCTACTGTTGTTGTATATTTAGGCTAGAAAAGCAATGCGGACATGTAGGATGATTCAAAAAGCATGGAACAAGATGGAGTCCTATAAAGACCCCCATGTTATATATTTAACATATGGATCATTGGATTGGATTATATATATGGGAGATTCAAATTGCCTTGTTCTTTTCTTTTTCCGTGGTGTAATATAAAATGCAACTGCACTTGAATTTTTCTTGCAATTTGTTATATCTATTTTACTTGAGTGTGCACTAGAAATTAAATGCTCTTTCTTAGATTTTTATAGGCTCTTAAAATTTCAAATATTTTACCTAAAATTTAAATAAGTTAAAATTAATCAAAAGTGATTGATTTTCAATAAAGTCTAATGCATGACTTCTATCTAAGCTACCTCTTTCAAAATAAGTAACCATAACACTTTCATGGACTGTCAAAATCTCAGTCATCCCTTGGCATTTGATCCCACGGTCAGGATGAGAATCCGTGGGAGGCTCAACTGGATCACGTCAATATCCTTCTATATTTGGGTAGCTGAATTAGGAAGGATTATATTGAGGCAATTATGTATCAATTAGAAGTTATTTATTTCTTTATTAAGACATCTTGTATAAATTTATAAATAGGGATAATTTTGTATCATAATTAGAAGGTATTTTTACCTTTCTCAAATTCTATGAATTCTAACATGTAGCAACAGACTTTCTGTGTTTAGGATTGACATGGAGATGAGCACAAAAAAATAGCTATATGTTGATTCACATTGGAAACATTTTGAGAACATAGATTGAAAATCTTTTAAGAACATGCAGGATGCCCCTATAAACCATTCCAACTATCTGAAGTGGTTTTAATGCGTCTTTCCAATTTTGTTTGTCTGATTTTTTTTTAATATCTGGTCAGGCCTACTCTGAGATGAACTGGCGTGAAAGACAGATTTCAGTTTTTACCACCTTCTCTTCCTTTGAGCATTCTCTGAGCTCCTGTTATTTCGTTGTTATTTAGGTGATGCGCCTTCTCACTGCAATGAATCTTCATTTGGTATGGATTGTTCTCCTGTTTTGAAGGTCAAGTCTATATTTATCAGTTCTGCAATATTAGCTGCAAAAAGCCCTTTTTTTTACAAGGTAATAAATTGGTGGTTATAGACGTCTCTCATGCTTTTCTCTTAATTCCCTTTACTGATTATTGTACCTGTTATTGTCTTTGCAACAGCTTTTTTCAAATGGCATGCGAGAATCAGATCAACGGCATGCGACCTTACGAATTAATGAAACAGGTAGTTAGCTGGGTCATGCTTAGAAGAATTCTTGAGTAATGTACAAAAAACTCAGATGCGAATGATTTATGTAATCTGTGTGCCAGTTTCTTGGTGAACAAAAGATTTTCTTAGACTTATTATTGTCTTTGCAACAGCTTTTCTCAAATGTCATGAGTTGGTATTTGCAGCATGCCTTATGGTTTCATGGACTATCTGAAAGAAGATCATACCTTTTGGTTGTCAATATTTGAATAGGATGAATCTGCTTCTGCGTATATAGGTTTAATGAAATATAATGTGTATTAGTCTTCTAACCAGCACTTGCCACCTTATGAATTAAATAAATAATCTGATCGGCAGTTTTCAACCTTACAAATTAGAAAAATTGATAGAGTAGTAATGAAAAGAACTCTTCAGGAAAAATACTGCATTCATATCTGCGTGAAAAACATTTCTATATTTGCATGATAGTTTCATAATAAACAGAAGATTATGTTGAGACCGGAGCAAGGTTTAAAATTGCGTAGTTGAGTATTGAGGCATTTTTTGTTCTTGAGGCAAGGTATAAGCCTCAAGGAGTTTTGAGGCATAAGCCTCAAGGCGTTTTGAGGCATAAGCCTCAAAATAAAAAAAAAGTGTTAAGTCAAAATAAATGTTAAAAGTGATATTTTATATAATACCCAAATAATATGTTAAAGGATAACATGTTATCTTTCTCTATTGAATTATGAAGTAACAAATTGACATACATATAAAATAAAAAATTGAACAAAATGTAAAGTGGAAGTGATAAATTACATGAAATAGAATTGAAATTTAAAAATTATGAATGCCATAAGTCTATCATATATTATCAAGTTCAACTCCAAATTTCTTCTTTCTTAGTTCCCTAATCATCCACATTAAATTCTCCAAGAAAACTGAAATAGTTGACAAAAACTTAGATTTCATCTGCAATGTCAAGGAGGTTTTTATTTTAGTCGTCATCATAACAACAAATTGTTGTCCCCTCCCTGATCTTTTGGAGTCCCAATTTGCTTATTCTTTGCTTATTTCAACCATCTTTCTTTTTCATAAATGTTTTTCATTAATATAAAGATGAGATTAAAACTCTTTAAATTTTAGAGGAAGTGGTGATGGTGTGCGAGTTTCAAGTGATCCTTGGAGGCTAAGACGATGTTGACTATGGAGAAAATGGAGTGCTGGAAGTCAAGGCAGTCGAGAGGAAGTTGTTGCAGCTTAGGGGTGCATTAAAGCATGATTTTTTTCTAGGATTTAATTTAGGATTTAGGTAAATTTTAATAAAAATATATATCAATAAGGTGAGGCGTAAGCCTCACATCCGCGAGGTGTGGTGTCTCAAGGAAGGCCTTAGCCAAGCTGAGGCGCAAGCTTCATAACAAAAGTTTGAGGCGTAAGTTTCGATGCATTTTTCAATGGAATTGCACTGAAGCGAGCCTCATATTGCACAATATTAAACAATGGACCGGAGTGGTTGATCCGATCTATTGCATGTTGCTTAACGTCTTAGGACTATTTCAAATATCTACCTCAAAACAAGTCAGGCATGCATTGTTGACAATAATATCTTGAAATGTCTTCCCTAAGAGACTTTTCTGGAGAACGGGACTAAAGTTGGAAACTTATATTTCCTTAAGAAGTCTTTCGTGAAATGTTTTAAAGCACAATTTCTGCCTTTATACATGAATATTTAATGACTTCAAAGCACACCTGAAGCAGATCTGATTGACTTGGATGCTGCATTTTGAGAGTTTTTTATGTTATTTGATGTACTTAGCTTGGTGTCCTGCCTCTTTAGTTTGTGTTCTGGCTTGTGCTTGGTTTAATTTGAATAATATATTATGCCCCGGTCTTATCATAAACTTTTCCTTGAAATTATACTTGTGACAACTCCAGATACATTACTTTGATCAGTTAGCCTCTAGAAATATGTCAAAAAAAACCTCTCGGTGAAAAAAAATCTTGTTCCGACAATTTCAAGGATTGTAATCTTTTAGCTAAAATTTTCTTAATGCATAGTTTTTGTTAACCTTTAATCATTCTCAAGAGATCCTTGGAAACATTCCAATGATATTGGACATTCAAATGCATTAGTTTACAGATTTCTAAAATGATGGCCTACCGACAGATCATTAACTGGTGATTTATCTAGGATGGAAAGTAATGCATCAATGTAGTTTTTTTTAGTGCTATACAAGAATATTTTTTGAAAAAAAAAATAACACCATCTTGTTGCAGAGGAAGCTGCCCTAATGGAACTTCTGAGCTTTATGTATAGTGGGAAGTTGTCAACCAGTTCAGAACCAGCCCTCCTAGATCTTCTTATGGCGGCTGATAAGTTTGAGGTTGCTTCTTGCATGAGGCACTGCAGTCATATGCTAAGAAGCTTGCCTATGACTACAGAATCCGCACTTCTTTATTTGGAACTCCCATCTAGTGTTTCTATTGCTTCTGCAGTGCAGCCACTGACAGATGCTGCTAAGGAATTCCTTGCTAATAAATATAGGGACTTGACAAAGTAAGCGTCTCACGAATTTACTTCTCTAATCACATTGTTTCATTCATTAAAATAATTGTCTACCTTTAGGTTCCAAGATGAAGTGATGAATCTACCATTAGCTGGCATTGAGGCAGTCCTTAGCAGTAATGACCTTCAAGTAGCTTCTGAAGATGCTATCTATGACTTGGTTTTAAAGTGGGCTCGAGCACAGTACCCCAAGTTAGAGGAGCGGAGGGAAATATTGGGAACCCGATTGGTGGGTTTAATCCGATTTCCATTTATGACCTGCAGGAAACTGAGGAAGGTACTCGCATGCAATGATCTTGACCATGAAACGGCATCTAAAGCTGTTTTGGATGCAGTATTCTTCAAAGCTGAGACCCCCTATAGGCAGCGTGCTCTTGCATCCGAGGACTCGAACAAAAACCGTCAGTTTGTGGAGCGGGCCTACAAGTATAGGCCTGTAAAAGTGTTGGAGTTTGTTTTGCCGCACTCTCAATGCATTGTTTACTTGGACTTAAGGCGGGAGGAGTGTGCCAATCTATTTCCATCTGGCCGTGTGTACTCTCAGGCATTCCACTTAGGAGGACAAGGCTTCTTTCTCTCAGCACACTGTAATATGGATCAACAAAGTTCATTTCACTGCTTTGGCCTTTTCCTAGGGATGCAGGAAAAAGGTTCTGTGAGCTTTACGGTTGACTATGAATTTGCAGCGAGGACAAAACCTGCTGGTGAGTTTGCCACCAAATACAAGGGATATTACACCTTCACTGGGGGCAAGGCCGTTGGATACAGAAACCTGTTTGCAATTCCATGGACATCGTTCATGGCCGAGGACAGTCTCTACTTCATGAATGGAGTACTTCACTTGAGAGCTGAGCTTAGCATTAAACAGCCACAGCCGGTGCTTCAGCTCTAGGTGCATTTCTGCTGCAGATTTTTTGGGTCCTATGACCTTAAGTCTAATGCTAATGTTAGGGCTCACAATCATATACCTTTTGGGCTTGGCCGGTCATGTGGCCTTGATGTACTTTGTTGAATTGAGGGTACTGGATGGCGGGTTAACCTATGATTCTAACTTCTTATTGACCCATAGCTACCTTTACTTATCAAGATCTGTAAATTATGTTGGAAAACGGGGAATTAAATGTTCATTAGGGCCAGTTGATAGATGTCCCAACCTTTGCTAGTAGCTTTGAAGAATTTGAGAGAAAAATATTGCGCAAGTAATGCCTCCAGTGCTTGAGGAGGAATTGTTGTGCTTGAAGTTATTTTTATTTCCTGTTATTGATTTTGCCATTGTGCTTTGGCGAATTTGGATGCTAGGTTTGGTTTTGTTCTTACAATCATCCAGCATTAAGGATTATATAATTTTCATGCATCCTTTTTTTTTTTTTGTATGATTGTCCGATCGGCTCTGAGTATGATACTGAATATTGGTAAATTACTTGTTCATAATGCATTGCTTCTTTCCCGGTAGTCGAGTTGTTTTGCCTGCAGTTGGATTTACTTTATTTGGTTTTTGTTGCTGCTTTCATTCTGAGTTCATCATATGATTTCCACTTTTTTTATCCAAGGGCCATATATATACATACCCCTCAGAAAAAAGGGCCATATTTCTAGAGATAGAAAGAGAAGCTTTTAATGCGATTTGGTTTCAAAAATTTATATTTCAAGCTCGTATATTCAATTGTGCAATTCTAATGTTTTTATATTAATTTATTATATAATTACGAATTGCATGTAATGAAATTTTAAATTTATAATGTAATATTAAATTAAATAATTTTTTGTGTGCTTGTTCTGTGAAATATATATTTCATTTTATTTATGAGGGCATTTATTAATTATCTGCTATCTTCAAATTTGTTAATGATTAAATATATTCTTAATAAATTTTCCCATGATAAAAAACCGCTAGGTGCTGCGTATGAACTTCATTGCTTGGAAACGATCTATATCAAGAATAGTAGACAAATCCTACAAAATTGGTTTGCAAGAAGCGGATACTGCATGAGTTGGTATGTCGGGCAAGAGGCTGTTTCATTTGCCCTGGTCTCCTTTTTTTTCATTCGAGGGTTTTTCAAATATTTTATTTATGTTCAATACAGTGTTGGTGCGTCTTTTAAGCATATGATATGAATTAGCTTTCCAAAATCAAAATAAATTAGTACATAATACTTTTAATTCAAATTGAAACTACTTAATTATACATCCTACAGTTTGATAAATTTGATTGAGAACACAGGCTGAAGATCTTTTGATAATCACCATCTTAAAGTGAAATTTATAGATGGATTTAATTGAATCAAATTCGCTTAATTTATTTCTTTGATGTAATTTAAAATTTTCATTAATGGTACTGCATGATCATTTTGAAGGTTGCGATTCATAAATGGATCAAATTGAATTGATTTTGCTTGATTGGTTAGGCAGATTTAATTTAGAATTAATACTACTTGTATAATATACTACAGTAATATTACTTATGATAAATGCTTAATTAAAATTTTTATTATATTAACTTTGTGTTTTACATGAGTTTGTTTAAGTTATTCTAAACTTTATCAATATTTTCAAGACTCAAATATAAATATTAAATTATTTTTGTTGGTACTTGATTTTTGAAATTGTGAGATTGATGCTGTTAAGCTTTAGGTCATTAGCATCTTCCGAGTAATAATTTTTTTTTAAAATGCTTGTTACATATGTTTTCGAAATTCTCTTGTTGAATAGATATATTCTTTGCATCAATACTACTGTTCCTATTCTCCATGGCTTAAGACTTTATTTTTCTATTGATCTCACTAATATTATTATTGAAGTTGGTTCTAATTATTTCTTACATTCTTTTAACATTGTGGATTATATGATTGGTTCTTCTGCCATGTTATATGATGAGGGATATTAAGAATTTATTGAGCCTTATGAACTGCTCTTTTTTCATTGTCCTAAAGGATGGTAATGCTTGTGTTAATTGGATTGTCAGGTGGGGGTGTGGCTTGGATTATATGGTTGATTTTTCATCTTCTAACCTTCCTGCTCCACTAGGGGTGTCAATTTTTGACACGACCCGAACCCGACCTGGAAAAATCCGGGTTCGGGTCAACCCGAACCCGAAAAGGGTCGAGTTTGGGTTGAACAAATCAACCCGTTTTAAAAATCGGGTCGGGTTGACCCAGCAACCTGAATTGACCCGAAATTGACCCGAAAGTGACACGAAAACTAATATTTGACCCGAAAACCTGAGATTGACTCGTTTTTGACCCGATTTGACCCAAAAATCGAATATTGACCCAAAAATTAATAATTTTAGGTCAACTTCGGGTCATTCGTGTCGGGTCGGGTTCGGGTTCAGAAACCTGACCCGTTTTTAAAAACGGGTCGGGTTCGAGTTGACCCGAATAGTGCCGGGTCAGTTCCGGGTTCGATCCAAACTCGACCCGCTGACTCGAATTGACACCCCTATGGTCCACTAAAAGGCCTTTTAAGATTGGATAAAATTGGTTTACCTTATGTTAAATTTTAATGGTGTTGCTTGGCTTCTTACTGGGTGTCTGGCTGGGTTTCTACCAGCTTCTCTATTTTTGTTTCCTTGTCTGTTGATTTTTTTTTCTCGGGTGGCTGTGCTTGCTGCTTGGTTTCTTTGTTCTTCTTGTTATTGCCTTGATATGGCTGAAACTTTTTGTGGTTGTTAGCGTGATAGAGTTATTTTCCAATTATGTTCTTTTTTTGCCATCTTTCTCTTTTGTTGTTTATGTTTAGGGGGTAATCCTGCGGCTTGGTGGCTTGGTGATTCCTGGTACCTTTGGAGCATTGATGAAGTTGGGCTTTGGGGCTTGTTTATCTGTAGTCATTTTCTTAATGCATTTGGGGCTCTATTTATTGCCGGGAGGTTAAGCATGGAGGCTTTTCCTTGGCTCTTCTTGGTTGGTCTGCTAGAGGTTGGTAAGGTTGTTTGCGGTTTGTTTTTCTGTTTTCTTTGGCTGGGCAATTTTGGGGATATGCTGGCGATCTTTGCTTGGCCTTACTCGGCTTGGCTGCAGGGTGCTAGTAAGGTGTTTTGTATTTTGACCATTCTCATCATATGGAGGTTTTTCTTTAGTTTGTTACTGGTGTTTGTTCCCAGTTGGTTTACTTTTCTTGGGTTCACTTTACAGAGTGCCTCTATCTGGGAATACCAGGTAGAGTATTTTTTGTCTTACTACTGTCCTTCTAATTACTTTTCCTGGTTGGGTTTTTTACCTCTTATTTCTACTGCTCAATTGATTTGGTTCTATTGTTGTTATTATTGGTTTCATTTGGTAGGGCTATCCTTGCTAAGATGGACGAGAACAAGTTTTTGGTTCCTTTTAGTGTTTTTTGTCTTTTCTAAGCTGGATTATGGGGTTGTTGCTGCCCTTTCTGGTGACCTAACTATTACTGTTTTGGTTCTCATTATTGCCTATTGCTGCTTCCTTCTTATATATATTATGAATATTTGCTGGATCTATCAAACTGCTGTTATGCTTGATTTTTTGTGCTTCTTCTATTTTGGACTTCATCCTTTTTTGCAGAATTTTCTTTGTGCAGGTATTTATGGTGCTGCTATTTTGGATGGGAAGCTGGAGTTTAATGCAGTTTTTTGCTGCTTTCCTTCTTTTTGGGTGCTCTTTCTTGTGCACCATAGATTATATACCTAGGCTTATTTGTATTTTTTCTTAGTAGGTACCTCAAGCTCTTACGATTTTTTTTGCTTTCCTTTTGTATTTCTTCTAAGCATTTGTGAGCTTGAGGGCCTTTTAAGGACTCTATACTTGTTTTCTAATATTAACGTGTAGGGCCCTCTATGGGTTTTCCCTAAAAAAAAAAAATTCTTTGCATCAATCTTAAGAAGAATTATTAGTATTATTACGGGCTAGAATATTTGTGGCGATAGAGTGAGTAAAATTTTTGTCTTAGCAATACACGGATATCTAACACACAAACACACACACACACACACATAGAGAGAGAGAGAGAGAGAGAGAGAGAGAGAGAGAGAGAGAGAGTAAAATACCCAATTTTTTTAAGTGGAAAACCCGAAGAGGGAAAAACTACAAGGCCTCGCCCAAGTAAAAAGATTATACTAAATTTGAGTGAATTACAAAGGTTGATCCATCCCTTAACTTAAAGAAAATTGAATTACCAAAGTTTGGAGAGTTATGCAAATATCTAAAGATGGTCGAGCGGAAGTCTGACGGTGTCTGGTCAGAAGTTCAACTAATGAAGAATGATCCTAAGATGGTTAGGCAGATGTGCGCTGCCAATCAGAGGCTAACTGGGGGTTCGATGGTAGTTGGACGGAAGACCATCGACATTCAGGCTCGGGTGGAAGTCTTGCGGCAGTCAGTGGCTGGGCGGTGGTTCAACCATTTTTGGGTGAAAGTCTAAATAATACGCAACCGAGTGAAAGTTTGATAGTGGTAAGCAGTCGGGTGGTGGTCTGACGATGGTTAGGCGAAAGTTTTGTGGTGGTCGGCGGCTAGGTGGTAGTCCATGGTGTTCGGCTACTGGACGGTGGTTCGATGGCTGTCGGGTGGAAGTCCGATGGTAGCTGGCGGCCTTGTGAAAGTCTAACTGTGGTCCAATGATGACTGAGCAGATGTTCAACGGTGATCGATGGTCAGATGGTGGGTCGGTGATAATCGATTGGGGTTCGCCGGCGATGGTGCTGGGGCTTTTGAAGCATCAGAGCTCTCTCTAATATCTAGAGAGTTGGGGTTTATTTATAAAATTTTATAAGTGGAAAACTCCATAAATATAGAGAAGATCTAGGGCAGGTTTGTAGAGCTCCATTGGATGGCCCGTATTGATTTCCCGATCTTAGAGTGTTTTTAAACTGTTTAAGTGCCTTAATGATGTAGTGAGTTCAATGATCCTACTCTCAATGGATTCATCCCACTGAGCCGCTCGATTTGACAATAAGAATTCCATATTTGGATATCTTTTTGTCATCCAAATAATGCATTGAACCTTTCAAATAAGCTTTAGACTCTTGATTTATATCCATTTGGGTTCAAATCAGACCGATTTTGGTGTAGTTAGTTTTTTTTCTCTTTGAGATATTCAGTTTGACTAGCAGTTTGTTGAAATTAGGGTTCATTTAGTCCCAAATTTGATTTTAAAAGGTTCCAACTTGTATATGCCTCGAGATTCGTACATGGCCAGGATGTTTTTTGTAACGTATCAGTTGTTCGCTTTTTTTGGATGTCAAATTTTATAGAGTCCAGAAATAATGTAAGTATTCTATGAAGTCGAAGCATAAATCAATGCAAAAAATTTAGAAAATTATGGTCCAAAATATTTGAACTTTCTTGAAATTGATTATAGAGGCTCCGATGGGCTCTGAAAGTAAAAAAATTGAGTTCAAAATAT